CGCCCTCAGGGGGGTTCCCCCGCCGCATGGCTGCCTCACCTTTGAGCGCTTTGTTGCGGGGCTGCGGTACTCCATGCTCAACCCGGAGAACAGCACCCACTTCAATGCCCAGGCTGCCGTGCATCCACAGCAGACTCAAAAGCAGCCCCAGAAACCCACCCTACCGTCCGCATGCAGCGTCGGGACCCGAGCTGAGAACAAGGTCCGTCCCCTGGGACCGAGCGACGTGACCAACACCCAGTCGCATCGGGCATCCTCTCTGCAGAGCCGTGCCAGATCGGAGGAGGGGTCCGGGCACCCCGGGCGGAGTTCGGAGCGAATCCCCGTGGCTCCGGGGGCCGGGTGTTACAGGGTCGATCCAGGACATGCCACCAAACCAGCGCAACCCCTGCAGAGCCGGGTCAGGTCCATTGAGTCGCTTGCTTTGGAGTCATCCCAGCTCCAAGTACCAAGTAAGTTCCACCACAAAGCCATATCTCTAAGTGTGTGCGAGTTTATGGAGGATGGGGGTTGTGCTGTTATTGGAAAAGATAAGGCCTGTCAGAATACAAAAATAACAGCATGTTAGTAATATATAATAAGACACTTGTTTGTTTTGTCTGACCAGTAGGGCAAAAGTCAAAGATATTCAACTTAGCCAACAATAAAATGGAAACACAGTACATTCGCACATCAGAAGCAGTGATTGTTTTTGACATTTTAAGGAAGTAATGATTAGAAAAATACTTGTCAAATCACTTCATTGCTGAATTATTATCATCCTTTCAGCACAGTTTCTCCACCACGGCTTCATGCACAATGCTCCTGACAGTTACATGGGCATCTCAATACTCTCATCCAACTTAAGGATTTCCACTTCAGCTGCTCTGTCTGTTTGATCCTCCGTTTTCATTTCATTTTCATAAAATTTCAGAAATGTAACCACCTTGAGGTTCTGCCGTCATCCCTGCCGTGGCCTTCTGATGCGAAAGCAGGTGATGGTCAGTTGGATGTACGTTGAAGTGTTCGGTTTTCTGAGCCATTGCTGCAAGGAAATTCCCAGTTTGCCTGTTCGTGATCTTGTTTGACTCACCGATGTTCTTTCTTTGTCTTACAATCACACAAGAGACTGAAAAACTCTCACAGCTCTTTCTTTTGAGCCCTCTGGGCTTTGACTGCTTCCATCACTAGCACTAAGGACAGTGTTGGTTTTCAGATATAGATATAGCAGGGCAACAGATAGCACATATTTTTGCATGCTTTTGTATGTGAGAGAAAACCCCTACAGCCAGGTTCCAAGCTCTTGTGGAGAGTGTTACCGGAGAAGTGGAGCCTGTTGTAGAAGCATATTAATGTCCATTGTTTTGAAACAAGATGATCAGTCACATGTGGAGGATTTGACCGTGTAATGTAGACACGAGAGTTCATGCTATAATCTCTCACCTGCAGCCAGAACCCTGCTGGTTTAGACCGGATTATAACAGAAAGCCCACGAACCACTGAATCACTGCAGAGCTGAAATCCTCCCCAACACCTTGGACATCGCCTCAACTTTCTCGCACACACAATCTCTCTCTGTCTCACTCGTCTCATGTTTGTGGAAAGAAGGGTGGTATGCACTTCCATCTAAAAATATGACACTGATAAAATACCACAGTAGATAACCAGGGAAATACTACAGAAACTTTGTCATGCTATCTTTGGAATAACTAGACACAGCTGTCTATATAGCTGAGGTTCACAAATAGTTTGTGGATACACTAGTTAACACGCCAGGCTGACTACATTTATTACTACTACATTACTACTAACATTTAGTAGTAATTCTAGTAATTCATTTGCAGATAAGGTTTGGTCAGTTGTCATGGAACTGAAAATGTGTAAATGAACATTTTTTTAAGTGTAAAAAAAAGTTAGATTGAAATTAACAACCTGTTTTTACTGAAGTTGACACAAGTGTCAAGTTTGGCTCACTAATCAATAAATAATAATCAGTAGAAAAGCTCCGTTTTTCCTTTGGCCATGTTATAAAAATAAGCGTGCCTTGCTGACACAAGAAACATTTGCAGAATACAGCTCCTTCCTGTGGTATACACCAGCAACCCAAATGCAGGTCAAATGAATGTGTTTCCTGTAGTTTTCTTGGTCTTCTCTCATTCTCTGTGTACAGATGTCATGGTGTTTTGCTCCATTAAATTTAATCTCACATATAGAAACTTATGACTGAACCAATTAAGGATGTGGAAGAAATAACGAGAATCTAATAGACTGCTGTTGCAGCTGTTGCTGATTGACTTTAAACATGTAATAAATGTGTCATTACGTTGAATGCACGTTCCAGCAAAGCATAATGACATGTGTACAGGTGTGCTTTTTGTGCGAGGCATGCAGTTGTACTTACATGCCTGCTGTAAAAGCAGCACTTTCTTAACCTCCACTGTTTAAGAGGTCAGATGTGCTGTGTTTAAATGTGCCTGCCTCACATTTGTCTAGGTGTTGTGAAATCAGGTTTACCGAGATCTCAGAGCGAATCAGCAACAGGATTTACTGGCGGCTCCAGGAGACACGGGTGGAGTCGAGAAGAACCGAGGCGACATACTATATCCAGCGGAGTGGATTATGGAATGGTTGGTACACAAACACGCACACACAGTCTCTACAAAGTGCTTATAAAAAGTTGCAACACCTGGGAAGCTTGTGCCTGTGTGTCAGGAATGGTGTTCAGTGTTTTCTATTAGGAGCATTAAGTTGCTCAGCAGACCAGGTTTGGGTTAAGTTTTATTGGATATAACTGGAATTGAGGCTTTTAAAGATGTATATCATAAAACAAGGAAGAAAAGTAGACAGTGGAAGCAGAGACCAGGAAGATGTAAAAAAAAAAAAAAAAAGGTTTACTGTTTTCTAGCACAGGCTGCAGTATTCTCCATGTCACTTTCTATTGGCTTCCACTTTCCCCTCCCATCCCTCTGCCTCCTGCCTCCCCACCCATTGCCCCTTCCCACCTCCAGTCCAGAGCTCACGCCTCCTCTCACTCTCCGTCTCTCCCCCTGCCTCACCATTTCTCATTCTCACCAGCTCACCTCCTCTCCCTCTTTTTCTCTGTTTGCGTCGCCATCTCTGTCTCTTTTCCCCTCAGCCTCTGGGTCTGGGGAGGCTGACTGACCGACTCCACTCCTTCTTTCTCCCTCCCTGTCCCTCTCCTCCTCCCCCTTCCCTCTGTCCCTCCCACCCAGGCTGACTTGGCCCACTGCTGCCCTGATGGCAGTGAGCCGGGTCAGGCCCGGGGGCCTAGTAGAAGTAGAGGTATCGCTCGGCCGGCCCGGCCCAGCCTGGACAGCTGTTTGGGCTGCGTACACTACTGTCTTCATTCCCCCTAGAGCAGCAGGGCCCTGCATTTTTTCCTCTGGGTGAGTAGGATGTGAGGGAGAGAAGAACCTAGAAGGAGGGAGAAATGTTTGAAGAGGACAGAGGAAATTACGTTGTTTTGATCCTTGTACTTGTGACAGTTCATGCAAATACAGGCGAGTAACAGTGTCCAAGCTTAGCAACTGGGAATCCATTGTTGCTAAGCTTGAACACTGTTACTCTCCTGTATTTGCATGAACTGTCACAATTATAAGGAGAGTAACAGTGTTCAAGGTCAGCAAATGGGAATTCACTTTGTGTGTGTTGGATATGGCAAAAACTATTTTCCTGTGCTTGTTTTATGGATTTTGGGACATGTTTGTTGTTTTTTGTGGTTTGGGGTTTAGACTATTATTAAATGCATAGTCAATTAACCAGTTAGTTGACTGACAGAACACCAGTATTTTAACTAATTCATCAGGCCAGACTGATAGTTATTTGCTGGTTACTGTTCTTAAAATGTGAGGATTTATAACCTATAACCAATTTTTTTAGAGGTTTGGAGTTGCTGCTTTACTGGGGCAAATAAAATCTATTTGGCTTTCAAACAAGCAGTCTTAAACTAATCCTAAAAATAATCAATGAATGAATCTGTGTACACATTTGGAATTTGCAGCACTAAACTGTCCTTGCCTTACAGACCCCTGAGAACTGCTGTTGTACTGCTCCAACTATATCGATGAATTTTGAATGGCTGTTATGTTGCTCTTTGTGTTTTTAGCTAAACAGCTTGTCATTGTACCTGCGCTGTTGTGCGTATTTATGCTCGTCATTCAGCCAGCAGCAAAACACACAATCATACATGCACAGACGTTTCCATTGCCTTTTATCCATTTGCTCTTCTGTCCCGTCCCTGTTTTTTTTAATCATCTCTGCTCACTTTCTTTTTTTGTAATACACATTCATGCAGCCCTGTTATTGGGTCATGCTTCATTCTAGACATGGACACCCCCCCAAACCCCTTTTCCTCTCTTCCTCAGGTGGAAAGACCGCTAATATGTTGGATTTTGGTCTTTTAAATCCCTCATTCTCTGTTAGTTTACTTTCACAACATGTACTCTAGCATGTGAGCAATGACCAGTGGAATGTACTGAGCTACACAGGGGACAGAGGCGTGGAGTGATGGGTGGATGGAAAGATGATACATCAGGTGGCTGAATGCCAGCAGTGAGGCCTGGACTGTGACAGCATGCTGCATGGACAGCCTGGTCAGCACTACTCAGTGCAGCCTTGCTGGGGTGTACATTCACACATCTCTCCCTCTTTCACTTTCACATATTCACACACACTGGGGTGGTTGTAGTTGAAGTGGGTCTGTTGTTTATCCCATTCCTAGGTTGCTGTGTGGTTGCCATGACACTGATGCATGGGCTGATTGCTCCTCTAAACACTGTTCAGGATGGGAGAGAGTCCGGCACAATTGGTATGGCGCCATTGTCTCGGCCAGCACAAAAGAGTTTGCTGCAGATGCCCTTGTGAAAACATGAGAGTTTGTCTGCAACATAGACTGCTGGGAGCCAGAAATCATTGATTAGATTTCACGTTGGCCCCTGATCTGAAAGATCTCTTGTGATAGCATGGAAAATATAGAAATTAAATGTTTTCTTTCCATGGGCTCCGGGGAAGTTTGGTTTGTTGGCTGTTCTTATTCACATTTTTCTCTTTCCCCTTCCAACTTTTTACCCCTGCCTGTCCCTCCTTTTCACTCTTCCACAACATACCCTCCTTTTTAACTGTCAACTCACACAGCTGAAGCAAATGAAGGAACTGGAGCAGGAGAAGGACTCCCTGCTGGCAGGCTTGGAATTGGTGGAGCAGGCCCGAGAATGGTACCAGGGCCAAATCCACAATGTTGCAGAGAGACAGCGGCAGGTCGGCCAGACCTCCCACTGCATGGTCAGTTCAAACACTGGTCTAAAACTGGGAAAAACTAGCCAGATACAGCTTGTACCTCATCATAAGAAGACATCCAGAATGTTCTTCATTAATGTTATTTTACTTGTTTGATCATTAAACAACAAAGAGAGAAATTTTTAAATATGAATAATGCTTACTTTTGTCACAAGTGGATCCAAGTGGTTCGTGTCCTGTTTAACTACTTTGTGGAATTCATTCTTTGTGTCTCTGTGTTCTTTCCTTACAGGATTTCTTCACAGACGTCAGTCAGAGTCGCATGAATGTTCTCATTCCCAAACTGCAAGAAGTCAACCGCTGCCTCAGTGACCTTATTTCTAGCACTGGGATGGTAGGTGATAAATGCTCATAAACATTTTAATTGTTCCAGTAAAACCTGGGATCTAAATATAAATCTGCAACATAAAATATACAACATAACCTACAAATATTTCATTTGTGGCCTGTAATTTAAATATAAATCTGGACTATGGATTTAAGTTTTCCTTTACCTTTTTCCTTGTTCCTAACCCTTTACTGATCAAGGTGGGCTTTATATGTTAAAAATCCACAGATGTTTAAAATGACTATACCAAAATCAACAAAAGTAAGTGTATATAATCATTTTATCAGATGACCTTTTTTTTTCTTCTAGTCACTTAAGGTTATGTAATTGTTTGTTGAATTGATTTTTATTTGCCCTTAAATGTTATATTGGAAAAACCAAAATTACAATGTCAAAATGTGGACATTGCTTAGTTGTGTACTAAGCATGTCTGTAGTGGGCACGAGCTTTGTGTGACCCAAAGCTGAAACTGGCATTTAGGAAAGTCTGTCTGAAATTTACCAGGTAGGCTGTTGAAGCTGAAGCTGGATATATTACACAAAGCAGCTCCTGGAAAAGATGATATGTTACATGACTGTATATCTTGGGGGGGATAGTTCCTTAAACCTTGGTTCCTTATGTTTGTTCCCCAGCAGTCATTTCCTTCCAGTAGTGCTCAGCCTGCAGTGCTCTCTACAAACTTCCAGCCCCCAGCTCCAGCTCCTCCACAAGCCTTCCAGAGACTGAAGGATCAGAACCGACTTCTCACACAGGTTCCACACAAGTCTACAAACTGCCACTCGACAGAAGTCACTGTAGTCTTTAGGAGTATGACTGTCACTCACTTGATTTCTTTTCCCTTTTTATATTAAGGAGGTGACAGAGAAGAGTGAGCGAATCGCCCAGCTGGAGCAGGAGAAGTCAGCACTGATAAAACAGCTCTTTGAGGCTCGAGCCCACTGTGTGCAAGACACCAGCACCATGGATTCCACCTTCATCTGAAAACGTTTACCCTCCACCCAACACCATAACATCACCATGTTTCAGTTAGGAAACATCCCGATGTAACATCCTTTAGCTGATTGAAGACTGAAGCTGGCTCTTTGTTTACAGTGACACACCTTTAGTCATGGCACGCCAGCACCCTCAACATGTGGCCACTCCAAACCAAACTGTGCACTACCTAGATAGGACTGATCCAAGGAATACTTGGCCCCAGAGCTGCAAGGACAAACAGGTCAGGTCTCATGAGAACCGTCACTCTGTGCTTTGCAGGACTGTATCATCTACAAGATCTTCACTCCTGCTCCCACATTTTTAATTCTTAGTTCTGCTCCTTGACACATGCAACTTAGTGGTCTAAAAAGGATTTAGGGAATGGTTTCTGTTGGAATAAAATGCTATATTCTTTCATATGAGAACAAATTGGCTGCATCTGCTTGCTGTAACCTCTCATTAACATTTTAAAAACATTCTTTTAAGTTTGGTATTTTGACTAAATCATAATAGGATACACTTCACCCTCATCTTTCAGTATTTTCCTCCTTTTAATGTAAATTAATGATAATGTTTACCTGACATTTCTTTCTGGGTTTTAGCTTCAAGCACTGAGAGACAGGAACACCTGAAGAGAACAATTACTGTGTATATATAAGTAGCATGTAGCATGTTAAGACATTTTAATGAATTTGGAGATGGTTTTTTTTTAAGGTTGATAAAAGAGATGAGTGGACAGCCTACAAGCCAGTGAGATGTTGAAGTTTTGGATGTTTGCACGTAGAAGAGAGCTGAGGAGGATACGAGGCAGTAGATAGTGAGGGTGTCGGGAGATCTTCTGATGTTATGTCAGAAACAAAAAAAATCATTTGACTACCTTGTGCTGCACTCTTCACAGTGGATTCTTTGCTTGGGTCACATATTCAGATAACAAATTCCACCTTCTGAAGACATTCCTTTTTGAAATTTGGAGATGAAGCCTTTTTTTTAACCTTGTAGGTGTCTCTCTTCACCAGGAAACAGTTTGCTTCAGAAGAAACAGTTAAAACATTTAGCCATTTGCAGGTTTACATGAGAGATACATAGCGGATGGCATTAGGAGAAAAACATTGTTTATAATGGATCTTTATGGCACTGTTTGGATGTCGGCACATAACGTAGCTATATACAGTTGTCAGTTTTCCCATTGTTGCTGCTCAAACTGCATTATGTGTGAGTGAAACTCTTCCTTCTGCTTTCTAATCAGAGTACTCGAATTTCTGATGAAATGTAAAAAGTAAATACAACCAAATAATGCTGACTCTTCTTCTTTGCAGCATGTTTTTCTCAATCTTTACAACACTACATCAAATTTTAACATTTTAATTTCAGTTTAAAAAAGGAGATTTTAAATCTCCAACAAATTCAGCACATTAAAATGTTATCAAATGGATTAAATTCATTACTACATTTGTCACTTAGCAAATTTAAGATATTTTTATATTTCTCTTTTTCTAAAAAGTATATTATAATGGTTATATGTTTTGTTCTATTGTCCAGGCTTGTTTAATATTTATTAATTTATCATTTATTAAGGCAGTGTCCCTTGATAGTGAGGTTGATCTGATGTAACTCATGCAGCACATTTACACTTCACCCTCAGATGTGACTAGGTCTGCTTATAATTTGGAAAACGGGACTGTGAATCCCGCATGGACGTAGTGAAAAACATCTCAGAAACCACACAGTCATAAATAATAGTGCTTAACAGAAGTAGCCTGATAAAAGTATTTGACATTATTCCTTTCCTCTCACTAGTTGTACTGTATGTTTACAGTTGTCTTGTTTCCTGATGCATTTCTTTTGGGTTTTAAAGCACAATATTCTTTTTTAAAAGGTGCTATTATATATGAAAGTTATTATCTAGAGAGGAATATCAGCATGTACACTATGAAATGACAATTATGATCAAACTTTTGCAAAATAGCTGTTTCTACAAACATTTTTATTTGGATCTTTGTACAGCAAACTGGTGTTTGAGCCAAATGACAATATGAATATATCTCTGGCTGTTAATGGAATTACAGCATCAAGAAGCTCTAATGGTCTCTGACATGAGTCTGTTGGGGTGAAAGCAGATGTGTGTTGATGTGGCCACTCTGCAGTGTGTGTTTCTGCTCTGATGCAGAATTTAGCAAACCTGTGAGAATCCTTGACCTCATGCGAAAGAGACACATCGCCTGTGAACCTGACACCAGGACAAACAGGTTCAGAGACAGATGCACATGAAGGTAAACAAAGCTGGCTCGGACCTTTCAAGCTGTTCAAACAGCCTGAAACACACAGGAAACAACACACACCCTGTGATGAAGAAGTGGTGAACATTAAAATAATCAACAGGCCTTTACATTAACACGTTCACGAAGATAAAATATAACAACTATAGTAACAATGTTTTAGTCACAGGCTCTACAGAATGAGATCAAGACAGCAGTGTTTTTACCGTCTAATGCATAATGGATAAAAGGTCAAAGATCACCTAAGAAGTCATTTTTCAACCCTCAAAAACGACATTATCGACAGATCCCAACAAAAGAACACTAAAAAAATGCAGGTTCCGAGTGTGAACTGTAACAAAGTAATAAACAGTTTCTGGCAGAGGCGTGGCTCCTGGTTCTGCATGTTGGGTGAAGTACATTTCAAGCCCGCTGATTGAATCACCTTGAAACATGTCAGCCTCATGTAACATATTGCACATATTACACGTTGTTACACTGAATTGAATCAGAAGTGATTTTCTGGACTGTTGCATCAGTTGTTTACCGCCGATTTTCCGTCAGACACCAATGGTTTGTTGCATCATTGCCAATCAGTGTGAATGGGGGATGGCTTGCCACAACAGGTCCTTCATGCAAACCTGTTTTAATTTTCAGTGCTTCTTCCCCAACTAATGTACACACTTCTATGTCACTCAATTCATTATCAGAATCCTTGTTTTTTGATTATTGAATTAATTTTAATTTTTAAGGTGTGACAAATGTACAGGGGCCAGACAAGACATCATGGCATCCAGGGGGGAGAGCGTCAGCCTCCACACCCTCATCTCAACACTGTGATTGGCTGAGTAGAAGGCGCAGTATCCCTGAAGTGTTGGGTCATCTTCCAAAAGATTGTTTTCATTCATTTTGAGGTGAAGGCTCAGTATCCTGCTCACACTGTGACAGACCTAGAGGTCACAAAGATTAGATAGAGTGGCAACACCAGCCACTTCAGGAAGGTTGTTGTAGGATCCCATTGAACAGGTGAGTGTCATTTTTCATAAAATAGAAACCCTCACCTCTCCATTTAAAAAGAAACATTTACTGCAATGTAAAAGTTATTTTACATAAATGTCTTTTGTACTGAGTGAGGCCGTCAGTCTTGTAATCATATCTATTTCAGTGGCAATATTGTGGTTTTATTTATATTCAGGCTGCGCATTTGCATGTCACCCTTAGATCCAGAGATAGTGGAATATACTATTAGCTGACCTGGTGGGAACATGAAAGAACCCCTCAAAACAGCCACATTCAGTTTTACCATGTGGTGCACACAGCTCTACATGGTTGTGTGAAAAGGAAGTAGGTGCAGAGTCGGTGTGAAAAGGAGGTCAGTTATAAAGACAAAAGATTCATTTCTGACTACGTTAACTGTGTATTTGAAGAAGACATGCTGCAATAAGAGATGTGCATGATAATGTACATTGTTCTTTCTCTCTTTTTTTGTTCCACTAATGAAACCTCACATAGCAGGTAAAACAGCTGATGCAGAAATATCACACTGTTGTGTGTTTGCCTTTTCTATTTTTAGAGTACACTGCATTTATTTTAAAATAACCAGTCCCCCCCCACCACCACCACCCACACACACACTATTCTAGGAAGGTATTGCTTTAGTTTTTACTTTTTGTTATTGTGATTTATAATATAATTAATACTTTTTGCTCAAAGAAAAAGCAGTGGATATTCAGGGGAAGGATATTTCACAAAACAAAGGCGTGCTGTCTGATCAGACATCAGTGAGTCAGTTCTGTCCAGTGCTGATACTCAATTTTTCACTGTGTACAGTAAATGCAGAGTTCTGCATGTTAATCGTGTGTGTGACAGTGTTTACTGAGTGGTGTTTTGATCTGAATTGGGGATGGGTGACATGCTTTCTGACATAAAGATAATCAGTAGTTTAATTGACAGTACATAAGATATGATGATCAAGTGCACAGGACATGCTCATGTCACTCATGTTGAATTGTTAATTTTAGAAACAACTCAACTTGATATGTGTTTGTCTGACCTGTTCTGTTCTGCCAGGTCTCTGCTCCTCTGGCTGGTGTCCTCTGAAAACGTCACTCTCTGATTCATCATGGAGGTCTTATACATCAACTCCTCTGTTCTCTTTGTCTCTCACAGACCCCTCAACAACACCACTGGTGAGCAGACACTATACGAACAGTGCAAAGACATGCCTGCCATTCTCATTTGGTACCTGTGCCTGCAGTTCATTAACATGTTCGTGGGTATCCCGGCCAACCTCATGGTGCTGTGGCTCATCCACAAGAACAAGGGAGACTCCTCCACCTCAGATATCTTCATCCTTCACCTGGCTGTGTTAGATGTATTCTTTTGTGCCGTGCCTCCACTGGAGCTGGCTAACCTTGTCTTCATCACCACCAAAAGCACCCAGTACATCCAGCGCTTCTTCTATGGAGTGAAAGAATCCTCACTACTATTCCACTCTTGCATCTGCCTGGACCG